CCGCCCAGTACTGCTCTGACCAAGATGAGATCTGTGCACGGCAGCGCAGCCCAGCGCTCAGTATTTTACATTTTGCTTGCAAATATGAGCACTCACCGACCAATGAGAAGCACTTCTTGCTGAGAAGGAGGCCAGGCTGTAGGGGGTAATTCCATTTTACCAAATTCACCTGGGATAGTGGAACTACCCTTTAAGGCCATACCAGTACCACTAGCAGGAATGTAGCAGAGACAGAATCAGTACCATACTGACACATCATAAACCAATCTGTAGACTCAGAATCAGAACCATACAGACACACCTGATACCAATCTGTAGATTCAGAATAAGTACCACAAGGACACACCTGACACCAATCTATGGACATAGAATCAGAACCATACTGACACCAATCTATAGACATACTGTGTCCTGTATCTCTGGTATATCTTGGCTTAGTCTTGCTCATTAAAAATACTCTGCTGTTGGTCGGTTTTTATACTGCTTTATAACCTGTGGTCTCTTAATTCTTGAAGGAAAACACCTGCCTATTGAACAAGTACAAGCATGGTAGTAATATTTGCAACAAAGCTAAAAGATTTGATTATGACTTGCAACAGTGGGATCCTGTAGGCGTTAGCTGCTTTGTAATTACAAGTATTTGCAATTGGTGAAAGAGCATGTTATCACACAGACCTCTTCTCTCCGATTTAACATTTCCTGTGATCATTTAGCTATTTTATTTTCTCTTTACTATAGTGTCTGAGATAAACATGCATTCACCTGTCTTTGCAAGGGTTCTTTTACACTTTCAAATTTGCTAGGAGGAATTGCGAGTGGTGGTGACTAAATCTGTCTTAAGTTTCATTTATGTCACTGTATCATTAAAGTAGATCTGAACACATCAATATAATCTCATATCAGGGATCTCAACCTGAAAAAAGCAATTTCAGGGAGGTGCCCCTCTCATTTCAGGGAGGTGCCTTCTGCCCCCTATCCACGGGTGGGGGGGGGGAGAGAGCACCCCCCTGAAATGATGGCAGATAGCATGGGAAGCAATAGCTTCTTTGCTATCAGCAGGGTTGTTTTTTTTTGTATTCTGACAGTTGCTCCTGTCAGAATAAAAAAAAACCAGCATAGGAATGCATAGCTAGATTGCTATTGGATATTTCAATTTGCAATATCCAATAGCAAGCTGGCTACTGCACCCACCCTCTGCTGCTGTCAATCACTAGAAGTCGACCTGATGGAGAACTTCAGGTACCCCTCTGCTGATTGACAGCAGCAGTGGGCGGGTGCAATAGCAAGTCTGCTATTGGCTATTGCAAAGTGAAATAGCCAATAGGAATCTTCCTATGCATTCCTATGCTAGGTTGCTTTTTTTTTTCTGACAGCCAGCGGCCCCGCTGTCAGAAAAAAAAAACAGAACAGGGAAAGGTTTACTCTCCTAGATCGAGCAGAGTAAACATTTCCAGGAGGAAGTGTTTCTCTCCCAGGCGGCCGGGAGCCGCTATCCATTAGTGGGAGACTCCCGGAGCGTCCGGGAAAGTTGGGATGTCTGTCATATAAACTTGAACATGGTAATGTGCTTTTAAAAGTTGTTTTCAATCTTTTTTAATCTGCACCTTTTGCTAAAAGAGTATCTGCCTATCCCATAAAGCTCCTTGTTTAGGCAATTCCAGTTATGCTGTCTCCCATTTGTGCTCCTGCATTGTTGACATGTGACATGCGCCCTGGTTAAGACACACAACGTGTATGTGTGACACACAAGTATGTGTGTGTTGTAAAGTAGTCACCGCTCCAAACTCACTCCTGTAATGGACCACAATGTCACATTTAGTTAGCTAATTTGTAATGAGAAAAAAAATGCTAACAACAGTTAAAAGGCCCCTTTCACATGGGCGCCTGTCAATTGTGATCAGGAGGCGACCCGTGCACAGATCCCAACCTGATTGGAGCAGTTCAAAACACATGTCAGATCAAATGTCACAACTTGCGATGGAGGAGAAAACCTCTGGCGGAGGAGAAAACCTCTGGAGGAGAAATGGAGGAGAAAACCATGAATTTACCGGACTATGTTAGGACTATGAGCAGTCAGTGAGATTACCCCCAATCTGTTACGATCAGTTCCACCAAAACGGAACTCTGTTTCTGAACCTGGTCAGCTCCATTGATTAGACTAACTAATAAATGGAGTTCATTGTAATCTGATGTTAAAGGAGAACTATGAGGTGAGTGCTTTTCACTCACCTCATAGTTCTAGCCGACCTGTGACAATGAGACTGTCATAGGTCGGCTCAGTAGATCGGGAGGTGAGTGAACACATACCGGCATTCGCTCACCTCTCAATCCTGTCACAGCTCTCTGCCGTGACAGGGGAGGGGGTGGATTCCCCCCTTCCCGCTCCAATCCGCCAGCGCTGACTGGCGGAACGGACGGGGGACGGGGCGGGTACAGCTGGCTCTGCCTCTACATAGGCAGAGCCAGCTGTGAGTCACGCAGCTGGGCGGATACAGACATAATTGTCGGGATCCGCTTCAGCTGTGGCGTCTTAGTATACTGCGAGCAGCAGCTCGCGGTATACTGCGGCGTCTCAGTATACCGCAAGCTGTAGCTGAGCCTAGGGTGACGGGAGGACGCTAGTTTGTGTCCTCCCGTTACCCTAAGGAGAACTAGGGGGAAAAGCCTTAACCCCATAGTTCTCCTTTAAACTCTAAAAATCACCATCAGAGCAGTTTTAATGAGTGCCTTGTACTGAGCCTTACTTACTCACTAGGGATGTTCAGATTCCAGTTCAGATACCAGTGCAGATACTTGACATTTTCACAAGAACTACCAGGGTGGTAGCGGTTGCAGCAGCGAGTGGGCCCTGGTGCTCCCACACTGTCCTAAAATCATTAGTCTGTATTGTTTTAGAAAAACTGTCACATGACACTAAAGAAAAAAGGTATCAGTAATTGTATCTGTGAGTACTTGGACAAGTATCGGCACTTGGTACTTGGTCTGGAAAAAATGGTATTGCTGCATCCCTAATATATATAACAAATCATAGATTAAAACGGATACACATATTCCAGGAGCCCCGTAGCAAATGCTCCTTAACCTGCCTCCTAACTTTTTAGTTTTTCTCTAGTCTAGTCTTGGAGCTGGAAAAGTATCAGTAATTTTACCAAGTACAGTACTTGGTATCTGGACATCCCTACTTTTAACTAATTTCGATTGAAACGTCAGTCTTTGTCAAGGATTGAACAGACAAAATAAATGGCGGAGTCTAAAGCGCTACTACCCTTTGAGAACGGGGGGGGGGGGAGTTGATGGAGGTTTTCTGTTACGTCAGATGCTCTATGAGGTTCACATGGGTGTGCCGTCATCGACGTCCGGGTCTCTGTGGTGGGGGCTTGATCATGTGGATTCCTCTAGGTTTGATCGAAGTGTGTGCTGGCTCCGTCGGTTTGCTGGAGGGCCGCTGATGAGGTGGTGATGGCGTCCGTATTATGTTTTGTCTGTTCTGTCTCTCAAGTTGGACACCCCGGTCCACACTGAAACTAAAGTTGCACACCCCCCTGCATACCCCACTACCCCAAAATAAACTTCCTTCGCCGTTTTTGGATCATAGCCGGGAGAGCGCTGCCATAGATAGGACTCAGGTCTCAAAACTTTCCATGTATTTTCTTTGTCAAGGATTGACATTCTGCAAAGATTGATGTCTGGCTGACAAGCTATCCTGCTACACATAAATCACCTCCACGGTGGACATCAGTGAAGTATTGTAAGAAAGCGACTAATGCAAGCGCTGACTGAAGCTATTTTTTCTGTTTAGTTCTAAGCCCAGAAAGAAACCCAATATATGAAAAATATTACCCATGCAGTAAATAAAGTCTTCAGAATAATTCTACAACATGTTGATGCTTAGTGATCATTACATTACCTGATATAGTTTCAGTGAATGGAAGCAAGAGTGTATTTATTATGAGTAAATTGTTAAAATAATATATTTACTATTGTGTTTAGCTTTTTATTTATTTGTTATGTTTATTTGTTATGTTAACATTGGACACATCTGATATGATCAAGAGAATACAGGAATTTGTATTCACAGCAAATGCCATAGTAAAGTATTCATCATACACTGTAGTTATAGTTCCTTAATATTTGTGTATTACAAATAGGCAGATGCTTTTTCAGCAGGTTCAAGAAGCTTGTAAGAATCCATTTGGTTGTTAAAATGTGTCTTCCAAGGTTGTGGTACTAGGTGATTTCATGGCCCTGTAAAAATGAACAGATGTTTAAAACATGAATATGGACTAATACAGGTATTTGCTTTTGTATTATATATACAGAAAGAGAGAGAGAAGGAGAGCGCTTTCATTTTCTTAATGTATTTTCATATTAAATTCCTCTAGTTGCGCTGTTTATAACATTAATACTTTTAAGGAACGTTAACAAAGATCTAGTGAGTTCTGACCACATCATTATACTGCATTCCTATTAACCAGCATGGTAACATAAATATGAAGTAGTTTGTTCTATGCTATCTAGGAATGCACCGATACAGGTTTTTCGGTATCGTGTACATACGTGTAAATTTCCGTACTCGCCGATACCGAGTACCAATAACGGTACGTCTGCTAGCATGGAGCTGGCTTCCCGGGCAATCAGGAAGGCGGGCGGCGGGTAGTGACACACCACCCAGCTTCTTGATTGCCTGGAAAGTCGGCTCAATGGTCTTTGGCCGGCTCAATGCTGATTAGCTGTAAGCCAGCTTCCCAGCCAATCAGCATCGAGCCAGCTTCCCGGCCAATCAGGAAGCCAGGATGTGGGTCGTTACCTGCCACCTGGCTTCCCTATTGCCCACGAAGCCTCCTCCATGCTGTTTGGCCGGATCCATGCTGATTGGTCGGTACTTCTGCTAGCATGGAGCCGGCTTCCTGGGCAATCAGGAAGCTGGGCCGCGGGTAATGAAACGCTGCTCGGCTCAATGTTGCTTGGCCAGCTCGATGCCAAACAGCAGCATGGAGCCGGCTGTTTGGCCAGCTCGATGTTGATTGGCTCGGAAGTCGGCTTCCCAGCCAATCAGCATTGAGCCGGCATCCCGGCCAATCAGGAAGGAGGGAGGTTGGTTATTATCCTGGATGTCGGCATG